TTTCTTCGTTGATTGATTATCGTAGAATTAGCTGGAATAAAACTGTCATCAAACTTAAACTTGACATGGCAGTAGAGTCTTTTCTAAAACTATGAATATAATCGTGATATTCAAGAGATTACAAAAGATTAGCAATATCACGATTGTTACGATATGAATCGACCATTTCGGTTTGCAAATCCGAAATGTTCTCGGCCAAGAATGTGGCTCGCTCGAGAGAGCAAACGGGAAACGCTTATTCGCACGTGCACCGGAAGCGGAATCAGTATTTGTAAGGTGAGACAAATGAGCGCAGAGATTTTGACTAAAGTCCGTAATCTCTTGGTGGACCCGTTTAGCTGGAATGGCCTCAAGCAACAGCTGACGTTAGTTGACACACATTTTGCCAGGCTTGCACATGAGAGAACGCCGAGAGGGAAACCGATAACAATTACATTTATACGCCATCCCTATCTTGCGTTCTACATTGTCCCGACCATTCGCCATTCTCATTGTATCTCATTTTTCGCCCGTTTCTTTCGTTCTGTTTTTTTCTTCCTCGTTTCCTCTTTGTATCGCTCTTTCGCTCTTTCGTTTCATTCATGCAAAAATCCCGATACATCCGATGGCATCCGATTAATCGAAAAAAAAAAGAAAAAAAAGAAAAGAAAAAAAGAGCGAACACTGCTAACTACATCGAGATGATTTTATTTCTGTTGCCTCAGATAATGTCATCTCTGTAACATCATTTTCGATTTTACAATTCTACGTTTTGTGAGTGCTTCCTTTGAAACTAGCTTCCTATTGAAAAACATTGTCGAATCTTAAACAGCAGTTTGTGACAGACATTTATTGTTGACGACGTTTTGAATTCTTTTGGTCCTGATCACAGTTATTTTTAACAAGAAGTGATGCGTTTAGTGAAAATTACATCGAAAATTACAAAACTTTGAATGAATCGCTAAAAAAAAGAATTCGAGAAATACAAAATTAAAAATTCAAGTTCGCAAAAAGTACCGTAATAATATAAAAAATAATTTTACTGTAAAATTTTAATGATTAACATTGAGGGTGTTTTTAATGTATCCTATGTTGATAGAAGTGTATTCGCTGATGATGCTTTTAATAAAGAAAAGAGATGGAAAATAATAGATTTTAAAAACTACACTTTTCAATATTAAGCAAGAATGCATTGTTATTCCGCATAAATAATTAATTATCGAATTAGTTTTTTTACTTTCTGAAGTTTTTTAGAATCTCGGGATGGAATTCATATTTTTATTTATACGAGAAAAAAATACTCTGCTATTTCTCAATTGCGCGGCATCTTGTTGCATCTTGTTGCCTAAATGCACATCACGCACTATTTCATCCACCTTCGTGTCATCCCTGTCCTTGTTTCTTTCGCTTGACAAACATGTTTTCCCGTTATCTTTTAAAGGGATAATTATTAATCAGCGTCACAATCGCAGGGTTGAGAGAAAAAGAAATGTCATTGGATGTTGAATAACGCTATAACGTGTCGATCGTACAGACTTTCGCGTTTACATCGGAGGAAGGGAGTTTTTTAACTTAAAACGAGGACTTAATTCCCTCATGTAAAAACTCGAGCTCGAGTTTCCGCCGTCCGGTATCCTTCCGGAATTTCTTTTCAGGTTTGCCGTTTGTGTTTCAGGCTAAAGCGCCCGCCCTGGAGGTAGGAATTAAGGGTCCGCCTGTTCTCTTCTCTCGTCTTCTCCTCGTCTGTTTTATCTATACACATTCCCCCCTTTTTTCTCTTTTTCTTCTTCTGTTTTATTCAGTTTGTTCTCTCTTTGTACTTTTCACGTTTCCGTTTGTTCGCAAGATTGAAGTGCTCACCGATTGTCGACGACTACTTAGTTAAACGTGTTCCCAATCCGCTCTTTGCTGAAAAAAGAAAAAATCCTCCCTTCCATGAAAATCTCGCTGTAACTTTTCCTCCGATGGAAGATCGTTTAGGAGAGCTGTAGAAGAGAGTTTCAGCTGGCCGGTGACGAGGTTTTTCTCCTCCGGCCGTGTTGTCGTTTCCTTTTTTTTTTATTTTTTTTTTGTTTCTGTAATCCTCGATTGATATTAGCGTGAGATAGCATGTAATGTTATTTTCCTTTTTTTTTTCAGTCAGTAGAGCATGCGTCGCACAGACCTAGAAATACGAGTCGTAGGAGATCTATATACGAGTGGAGCAAACGTTTAGTAATAAATGCACGCAATTAAGTGCGTCGTTTGGGTTTCTCAGTTTCGAGGGAGCTTTTGTACTAAGCGAGTCAGTAGACTTACGGCGTAGACAGGTCTCATGTGATTAGAAAGCTACGCAAGTAGATGGTAGCCGATGTAATATACGATGATTCGTATTTTAATTACATGGTATTAAGTTAAACGCGCCACGGTGAAAGGGATTTTCGACGTAATCATATATAATTCAATTAATTACGAAAATTAGAGACTTAACGCTTAATCAGAATTCGGGACTTTTAAGTATGATAAAAAATTCATTTTGGAATGCTTTAATTATGAGGGAAGATATTCACAGATAGACTTTTATTTCGTCCCATATAAGTATCGAAAAAAGTGAAGCGAACTTTCGATTTTATTTTGGATGTTGTGTAATCGATCGCGTATATTAAATATTTCTACGTCAAAAGAAGAATCTTACACTGAAAGTACAGCTATAAAACTTGAGCAAGTGATATATATATATGCTGTAATAAAATATCGTAAATATCGTAAATATGAGTCAGATATTAAAGCAAAGAGCGTTTTGTAGTTATGAATCATTGAGCAATGACCATTTATTGGATGCATTATGAGAGCATCGCTGGCAGACATCTCAAAAGTCTTTCGATATTGTGACATTATTGCACAAGCACCCTGTTATGAATGTCGTGGCGTCAAAGTATATCGCTTTAGGAATGTTCATATCCCTTGTAAAGAAATTTATTATGAATATATCGAGAGATCGTAGCGTATCGTCACGTCAGGAATTTTCGCGCACATTCCGTAAAGAGAAAATTCAATCTTAGAGGATTGAGAAGCAGCGGTATCGAAATAACAAAATTATTATCGGCTTCTAAAAATAGCTCAATAAATCTTCAATTTTTAATCTAATAATCTATAAAAATTTATAAATGTGCTAAATAATGTAAAAATTGCGATGATTATTTTCGTGTTGTTTCCACTCGGCTGTAAAATCCTTTATCAGAAAACGAAAACGAACGTTCGATAAATTGTTTCTTTATCGATGGGGCGCGCGAGTGTATAAACAAGCTTAGTAACGCATCGCATACGTAAATAATAATCAAGAGGGTTTAACGCGTGACGTTTAATTATGGCATCGTGTACCGTGTTAACGGGAAAACGGGATTTCCGCGTTCCGCGGTGAAAATTCCGTGATCGGAAAGCGCGAAGGGTGTCTTCAAACGGAATCACGGAGCCGGAATCACAAATTGTTCAGACGCGCGTGCTGAGAATCATTGAGAATTTTCTCGTGGCTAATTTGGACGAGCTCAATCTGCGAATTCAAGCCGGCCAAGCAAGTCTCTATCAGCGGCGCGCCACGCCGCGTTTTCGTTGCCACCCATATTTGATGGCAAAGCCTCGCTCGTATGAGAATTTACGAGCCGCCCGCATAACAGAGCCCAATTGCCAACTTCTCCTTCTCGACTTTGTCGAGAGACCGCCGTAAATCAACGTCATCGAGAAACGCTCGTCATTTAACGACTGACGGGTTCATTCTGGCCAGATCTGCGCGATATTCGCGTATTAAATGCCAACGACACACAACGCGAAATTTGCCCATATATTTTAACTGGTTATGCGAATTCTGTGAATTTTCTCTTCTTCTGAAAATTGTTTTATTTAATTAAATTCAAGGAAGATATTAAATTCAGGGAAAAATAAATAATTTATGTTAAATTAAATTAAAACGTAGGTAAAAATATTTATAATAAATATTTATATTCGTGCATTTTAAATAATTTCTATAGACATGCCGTTATAATTAAGTTCATAATTGAATTGCAAACTATTAAAGCTAAAAAAAACTTGCAATAATATCACTAGATAAATCACTATTAATAATATCACTATTCTACAATTTTTAATTTTATTTTACTATATTGAATATAACATAAATAAAAATACAAATAAATATAGAAAATGTTCATGTATAGTTGTCAAATGTATCAAAACAAGCAACATCGAGAACTTTGGAGTTCGGCTTTTGGAAGTTGCGAAAAGTTTCAGTAGGGTTAAAATGTTCAGCTACATTTAACTTGGTTCCGATAATTAGTTCGGCAGCATTGGTTTAATCTGCGTTCCCTTTTCAGGGGAACTGAATGCCCTATTCGCGAAATATTTTGAAAGTCTTTTCGTTAGCTTAATTGAGGGCTTGTCAGACCTGTAGCTAGATTCACTTCAATCAGCGACTGATATATATAGATCGTGTTTGTAATTGGTACAATAGTAAAAGGTACAAAAGCAAAAATATATTGTACCAATTACATAGTAATTGGTACAATATATTTTGTCTTTTGTTATCCACTATTTTCGTCATACGTAGTAAAAATAAAAATTAATTTATTTTTTGTCTCGTTGGTAAATAGATCAATAGAAAAAAATATAAAGAAAGAAGGAATGAAAAAATGGAAAATTAAAGTAATTCAAATCAAAACAGACTCTATCAGTCTCTATCTTAATTTGATAATTACCATAGTTAAAATTTATTAAACATATAGAAATGTAAAAAACATTCGATGTGAAATGTTTGCCAATACAGATGACGTACGAAAAAATAATTTAACGTTAGAATCAACTAAATTAACAACATTACTAAAAATTTTACTGACAATAAAAAAATAGGAAATTATTAAATGATTACGAATGAGATTATTAAAGATTATTAAATGATATTTTTAACAATAGAATAACATACAATAATAGAAAATTTACCAATAAACAAAAAATTATGAATGTAATATATTCGCTATTCTCTTTTGAAACTATTAAGATTGCGGCATTTATTATAAAAGCGGATTACATCATTACATTTTAAATATCTTCTTTGCGTTACAAAAGACACTTCGAGCACTGGAACGTTGGAAACCAAGTTTATTTTCCGCAATCTTCGTCACTGTTAGGATTTAATTGTTAAGCGTTCCACAGCAATTACCGCAATGTAAAGGGAGATTTTCGAATTTATGCGGTTAAGTCGTTTAACAGACCGTCTCGCACGCTGACAGAAAGCACGAAACGTGAGGGAGGACGCGACGCGATGCGCCGCGAAAAAAGTAAACGCGAGTCCGACCACAACGAGGTGCTGAATCGACGTAACTGCGAGATAAAAAGCTAATCACTGGTTTCGCACGCGGCTCGCAAGAGAATCGTTTTTTTTTTTGCCGCGATCTCGGCCCTTCCGGTTGGTTGCCCTCGGAGATTGGATTTGCGAGAAATTATTGTCGCCTTGTTTCCAACGATATTTCATCGTAAACGGATCACGATGGTCTCAGTCACACGAGCCGGGAGGATTACACAATTCTTGCCGCAGTAGGATCGAATCGTCTTCCCCGCCTTTTGACGGAGCCTCGCGTATTTTCAACAGTTCCAGAATGAAATTTCGTCTCCGAGAAAATCCCAGGGAGCAACTTGGCGCCTCTCCCTTCGCTGCCTCTGTACGCTGGCTCTGTTTTCTTCTCGCAAAACAGCTCGCTCTCTCCGCGTTGCCTCCACCTATCGCTCGCCGTCTTTTTTCGTGACAAAATGTCGAATAACAACCCGTTCCTGACCGCCGAAAGTTTCTGGCGCCGACTAAATCGTGTTTTCGTCGCAATACGCGAACCGGTCAGCCAATTCGCGCGTTTCCACGGAGCTTGCTGCTTGCAGCCCCCGTTACTCGCCGCGATGTCAAAATTTATTGAATGCTCGATAACACTGTCATTCTTGCGGAATTACGACCGGCTCTGTTTCACCAATTTTGTTTTCTGTCTATCCCCATTGCGCGAAATATTATATTCCATTCTATTTAAATTCTTCGCCCGATTTAAAGCGAGTGTTTTCTCAATAAAAATCACTTTTCAATAAAATTCACTTTTTTTTTGCTTTTCAACGATATATTCAACATATATTTATTATTAAACTTTAAATTCATATTTTAAAACTGAACTTTATATATATGTTTTTTAATTTGGTAACTGTTTGATAACAATTTTGATATTTTTATTTAAGAATCAATTTCAAATTTTGCAAAGAATCTAAGAATCTCTGGATGAATTGTAGATGGATGTATTTCGGAAATATTGGATTTTGCTCGCATCATCAGTCTTTGTTAAGCTTGCGATAATGAAATTACTAATTAATGCGAGCATGGACAATGCTCGGACTATGACATTCCTTCATAATTACGAACAATCAGATTTAGTATCTAGAAATTCCTGAAATACATTTTACATCGTTTTCCCTTATTAATTACGAAATAATGTATTCTACTGATTAGTGCGGACGGTAATAATGCTCGACGTTTCAGAATTATGATTGGCAGTGCTATAATATTCCTTTTGCATCGATGCTCTTTGTGTTAATATTGAAGTAATGAAATGATAATTAATCTATATAATATTTAAGTAAAGTTTCGCCGAATAGTTAACATTAAATTATTCATGATGTATTAGCGTAATTATATGAAATATAGATTTATTAACGAAGAAAGTTTTGATTAATTTTACATCGTTTGAATCTAATTTTTCTTATAAAATATTTCACTATATTTAAATAAAATTTATGAAAAAAAGGAAGCTATATCCACATTATATTATATAAATTTATAAAAAATAAATTAATCTCTCTGTTTATGATTATCTCTTATTTATTACTTATTAATAAAATTTATATTACCGCGTGAAAAAAAAGTCTTGCTGAACTATCTAAAAATTTAATTGGACACAGATCTGAAAATAATTTTGTTGCACCGTCAAAAAGTGTAGGATGTTTAAATGGGTATTGTATATAAAAAAATTTTGCAACATTAATCATCATGTTTAAATATCATACATAATTATTTTAATGGCCCAACAAAATTATTTTCAGATCTCCATCTGGCCTAATTTTTTTAGACATTTCAGGAAAAGCATTCTCTCCGTGCGTATTACGAATATCAATAGTTTCATAATATATAAATTTACTAAGAGACCTGCATTTTCCATAATGTCATGTAAGATTAATGAATAATTCTCCAATAAATTAACGACGTAATCCGACAATTGGGCTTAAGCCGGGAGACTTAATCCCCAGGCTTTCAGGGAGCATTCTTGACACGGCAGTGTTCGAGCAAACTGCACTCGGGTTTAGGTCAAACGCGCGAATGGAAATGTCATGGAAATCAGGCTCGTCTGAGTGCGCATGTGTTACGTTGTCGTGTAATGGAATACATATACATCGACGTATCGAATTGCACATTCTAGATGCATGCACACAGGTCTTCCCGCCATCATCCCGGCGCCAATGAGTGGTAGCGTTCAACAGCCCTATCTTCATCGGGCATAAATCCCCTGGTGCCGATCGCGCGAGATTTCGATGTTTCGTGCTTACGAGGTTCGCTGTTCAAACATTATAGTTACTTCGAACTATGTCGTAACTGTCGGCGGATCTTTTGTCGAGAGACAAAAGATCACACTCCAGTAAGTTTACTTATTGCCTGCGGTAAATAGTTACGGTATTTGGAGACGTTAGATCAAGCAGATTTACTTATTCGTCGTGTTAGAAACCCCCTTGATGCGTATTGCGCATTTTCCGTAACAAAATCCTGTTTCACTGTGTACTACTTAGGCTAAAGTATTTTCAAGATTTTAGGTACTTAGGTACTTAAGGTACTTAGAGTAGGTCTCATCGATTAGGTCTGTGCTGAGATTAGAAAAAAAAAAAAAGATCGATAATTCATCGCCCCCAATTCTTTTCCATTTCGTATATTTGTGGTTTTAAAATTTATTATCTTGCACCGTGGCTATTTTCATGAATCTTCATGTTGCATGTAATTTTTTTTTTTACATCTCATCATTAATTCGTTTTACTATTATTATAGTTTTTTTTATTAATGGAAAAAAATATCCGTGTCGAAGAAAATATTTCAGGAACATAGCTTTCTCATCTGACATTTTTTAATGTGTACAGAAAATAGTTTCGAGATGAAAAATACTATACTTTTAGTGCATTTTTTAGTACGTACTTTTAGTACGTTTCTGTATTTAGGATTCATATAGAAAGTGGAATGTTTGTATTATCAGGAAATATTTGGTAATATAGTTGCTTTGTGTCACAAACAGATTAAATATCATCACTTTCGATCAGATCATGTTCCTTGTACATAAAATCTCTCCCTCGGAGTTTGTCTAAAATACAGCTTCGAGTGTCACAGTTAGTTTATATGCTCGAAATGTTTGAATATCCATGCACTGACATTTTTAAAACAGCGAGGGAAATGCGATGCTTTCCGATCTTTTTTCGTTTTTTTTTTTCGTTTTTTTTTTTATATATTCTAAAAAACCGTTGTCTATCGCATCTCGCTGTTCTATCGATGTCACAACGAACTACGCTGATGCGTTTCACAATAGTAGTAATTGCACATAGAAAACGTCAGCACAGTTAGACAATTGTAAATTTCGTTGTTCCAAAAATCGATTGTCAAAACATATTTCAAAATGTCAATTTTTATTAAAAGTATGTAACAAAATTCGACAAGACTGCAAAACGTGTAACGTTATGCAGTAATAAAAAATATTTTAGAAATATATAATGGTAATGGAAAAAAAGAGTAATCGTGGCAAAAATTCATTAATGACGAAATTATTTAACTGATAATTATTTGAAGAATATAAAATATTTTTTATATCGCACAATAAAATTACGCGTGCTGATGCAATATCATTCATAATATTTTTATAATTAAATTTTTATTGATATTTATAAAATTAATTCAACTTATATTTCTAATTAAAGCTCAGATTGAATTAAAGTGCTACGATTAAGAAAAAAAAGAGTGCACGCGCATTTAAAGTTTCTACTTAAGTTTATCGGACGTATAATCGTAGCTTCATTAATTCCGTTCGCCTCATGGGAAATTTTTCACATAAAAAGGATAAAAACTTCAAGTTCACATTTTCTCGATGTTCCTCTCGTTTTGCGCCTCTTTTCTCAAGCAATTGTCAGTTCCCTTGGAATTGGAATTGATCTCGTTTTCTATGTGCAACGACACGAACGATCGTATCAACGATAGCATCGTTTCTCGCTGAGATCATCCTCTCTGTCTGTCTTTGAGCTTGCTTGAGCCTTGCATGGCGGGTCATGGTTGTTGTTTCAGGCCGCGGCAGCGGCAGCCGCAGCTTCACCATTGTTGAAGACACCACTATCAACAGCACAACAAGCTACATACGCAGCTGCAGCGACCTACACGGCGGTGGCTGCGCGCGCATACGGTGCAGCTGCAGCTGCGGCACAACCGGTCGCAGGATATGCCGCAGTCGCGGGGTAAGTGCACCACATTTTCACCCGAGAAACTCCCGTATATGTACTCTCACTCACCACGAATCCTCCAGGATCTCCCTCATTCTCCTCCCTCTCTTTCTATCTCCCTCCTTCTCTCTCATTCGATACGATAGAACGTCCTAGATTTAACGAGCCAGCTTCCTCACCTCTGGATTATTTAACAAAACTCAGGGGTCAACTTTTTTTAAATGAGTAGCTTTTAATATTAAGTTATTAATAACATTTAATTAAATTATTTAATTAAATATTAATTTCAATATTGAATTGTATACGCGACTGATTTTTATCTTTGAAAGCTAAAATTCTGAAATAAATAAATACATGTAAAATTAAGCGAGGAATGATTCTATATTGATCAAACGTGGCTCGGTAAATTTAGAAACTCAGTATGATGCTTAAAGAAGCAAAGATCTCTGCGAAAAGAAGAAAACTTTTCTACCTCGTTTCTTTTTATTCTTCTTGAGGAAGGAAGTTTTGCGAATTTTTCTTCGCGAACACGCTTGTGCCCTCGTAAGATCTTGAGATTTTCCTTTGAAATAGAGCTTCATTTATTTTATATGAATTATGTATAACTCGTTATATAACGATCGTTCGCTATTGTATTCGGACTATCCGTTACAGTAATGTAATATTTCTCATATATATATATATATATATATATATATATATATATAT